ATTCCCTCGACAATGTTAGAGCGTAGTTTTGTGTCTTGATAGGTCGCCACGCAGTTTTTATGCCTCGATATTTGGCCGCAAAGTGTGTAATGAGGAGAATAGTATTGGTTTTCAATGCTCATTCTTCAAGATCGCCCACACAATTTGTTGAAATGGCATCCTCAAGCATGCTTTGCAATTATCGCTGCTTTCAGGCAATTGACTGAATGCTATTTCCATCCTCCTGTTTCCCAATACAGGAACGTGGCCATGGAGAATGCGGCAGTGGTGGAGCTGTCTTCAACGAAAATGTTCTTTCTTATGCTAATGTTCGATACTCCGTGGATTCAGACAGTGAATCGCGGTTATCGCTTCGCTACCGACAACGAAACACAATGCGGCACTTTGAGGTCCAACGCATTCTTATTTGGCCCCCCACTGATGGTCCAACCGCCGGTGACCACTCGGTATTCTACTACTGTGAGTACATCGGTGATTATTCCTGGCAGAGGCAACATGGCAGTTTCTACAACGCGCTTCTTTCCGGTGATGTCATGCATTCCATGCAAAGTCATCCTGAATCGGGACAGACATCTAGTGTCTGTCCGTGGTACACCCTTAAAGAACAAAAGCGTCTTTCCTCTGACTCGAGGTCCACTTCCGTTTACGACATCTCCTTTTTATTTACTTGGAATAATTTAACTGAACCCCATTTGACCAACGACTTTTGTCCGTGGTCATATTTCGATGGAGGAGGTACTTGGAACATCTTGGGTGGGCTGTTTTGTGAGCAACGACACTGCAACTGGACTGCAAGCACATGTACGGAAGTCAATCTAGATGGCAATTACATGGCGCTCCTCTGTAATAATAGTTGTTCAGTGAAAGATAGTGACTATGACGAAGAATCCAAGGATGTAGATAAGGAAGAGGGGAAGGAAGATGACTTTGCAGAGGAGCGGATGCAGGAGGATTGTGGCGTTGAAGAAGCAGTGTCAGCTACGCAAGAGTTATATGTGTGCGATGTAGAAGAAGCTGAAAGGGGTGAAGAGAGCTTGTCAGGAGACGAAGGTGAAGAAGTGATGGAGTGTGATCTGGTCCATAGTCGGGAGGAAACGCATTCTTCTTTGTCGTCAATAACTTATGAAAGTGAGGAAAATACTTGGTACAGTCCTTTTGAATTGTCCTCTGACATGGACACGCTTAACAATAGACTGCGGCCACGGTGGAGGTGGATCCTCCGTCAGACACGTTGGCCATTTCGATTTGCACCACAGCAGACTGTTGACCTGTCCATGCATGAGATTTCGATCCCGACGTGGCGAGCGAGTGCCGGACGTCTGATTTCGGATGTTCGGAATTTTTGTACAAGGAATCGCGAGACAAAGAATCTTATTCTTCTAGATCCCATGGCAAGTTTTGTGTATTTGTCATAAAGAATTACAGAATATTTGTACGTTCTCGATGACTAGTTGACAAATGCAATAAGAGCAAAGCGGTAAATATACGTGGTCGCAAAATGACGTTAAACAGTCGTGGCGAATCCATTTTTGATTAGCTTCCTAATCATCTGTGGTTGGTACCACAGACCAGCTAGTTAGAGCGCGTTAAGAAGCAAAATTTACCGGCCATAAGCTAAGTAAACCAAAACCTCTGCATTGTGCCTTCACGGAGCAGTCAAAATGAATGTTGTGTCAACAAAGGGTTATTCTACTTAGGCCCTATCACCGCTCTCGCCACTGCTCAATCTGATGCAGCACTCTGTGCAACCGAAAGCCCACCTGAGAGGCATTCTGTGGATGACCGCAGTTGATGCTCTTTCCCCCTCCTACTGCGTCCCCATTCCTCGTCAAGGCGTGGACTGTGAGGATGAAATGAAGCACCCCTATCCGCGACCACTCTACTTGCGATTTCTCACTGTAGCCGCCTTCGTGTCCAATTGGTTTGCCTGGTTCTCTCGCATCGAGACCTACTTGTCATTGGGTACATCTCGTTTTCCGCCATTACTCGTGTTTGACCCCGTGGCAGGGTGCGTGTTGCAACCATACACTTTGGGTTGTGGACAAACGCCGCTTGTCGATCTGTGGCCGCTTTGGTTGGCCCGACGACTGCTACTCCTGCCCTTTCATTTACCTCGATTGTGTGGCAGGCACGTCTCGCAGCACTTCTTTCCGTTCACTGACTTGGACGAAATATGACACCACTTACTTGATTCCTCTATTTTGCTATGTCGCTTGCTCCAATTTTTCACTCTCTGTATTTTTTATTTATAAATGGCTATTTTGCCGGCATGATGTCACGATAAAATATTCTCAAGTCTGGCGCTATTGTTTCACATAACCCCTATTTTTCGGAACAACGCGAATATTTAGTAGGAGAGGCAACGAAATGATCTCTTACTGACTCACATCGTGTATGATACTACTAATTTCATAATGATTTTGATGCGAGACGCTGTCCAAATTCCTCTTATAGCTAACGCTTGACGAATTCATCAATGGCGTTAGCGAGTGGTTCCCCATACACAAATGAAAAAAGAAGGAATCAAGTTCTTTTTGAAATAAATTAAAAAAAAGATAAATGCTTGAATGTGAAATAGGAACGAAGTGTGGATTTGACTGATGTTGTGCAGCCGACCGGCGTAGTTGCGTCTTGCCCGCGTGAAAAGGTCGGGTTCGCAATCTCACAAATCATCAGGGAGTGTAAAGTGATGCTGAGTATGAAGACACTACATTTTTGCGTTCTTTAGACACCATGTCTTACAGTATCTTACAGCAACCACTTTGGCCCATGACTCAACTTGTAATTGCGACTGGCTTTCAGGGACCGATATTCGAAAAATCCCTAGATTTCGTCCATTCTAGAGAACAAGGACAGTTGGGCCTCTTTTGCACTAACAACGTTTTACAGCCTCCTAGCAACCACATCCTAATCAACTCCAGATGCCACTAGTACATGCATAACCAAATAGTGATGAGTTCATGGATTCGCCAGTCCTGCTCCTAGGCAAAGCATCTACACCCGGTCTGGGCGATCGACCACAGCGAACCAGCACAAGGTAGTGGAATGGCGGTCTCCAACCTGCATAATCGCAAATCAAGTGCTACAACTGCCACAGGTTATCACTTCTCGTAACAGGTTGTAGCTGGTTATGCGACCAAAATCAGCCGGTTCTGGTTGGACCAGCACTTATTCTGAAAGACTGCCGGGGGTCACATGCAATCAATGGCGCAGTTAACCAAGTTATCGGAAGACTAACAGTAAAGCCGCCTAGATTTGACTCGCCAAACCTCGCCCGATTAAGTTAAAAGAGGTGTAAATGGAAATAGTGATTGCCCGGCATAGTAAGTTGAATAGGAGATAACAATTTCTTGAATCATCGCATAATGTTCACATGGGAAAGGTTCAAGCGAGTGTACAATGGCGTAGGTAGCAGCACGATAATTCTAAAATGAAATGAAAATTGGTTAAAAGGAAAGAAAAAAAACCTGGAAGGAGTCTGCTTATTCGAAGGGTACACCAATGGCTACAGGAGCTGGACCAGGCAAGAAACCGGACACGCAAGTCGCACAAGAGGTGATACTTGTAGGAAAGACGGTAACTAGCGCGGAGTGGGGCAAACCGCCTTGAGCTGGCGACAATTAAAACCCATTTATGTGCGGTAGGAGTGAGATGGAATGTCACTCACATGACCAAAATCTGCGCAGGAAGAATCGCAGAGCAGCAGCCAGGCCCAACGGTCCCAGGAGGATGGCGGAGATGCCCATTAGTATGGTGGCAAATTGCGACTTAAGCGACTCCTCAGGCGAAGCATCAAAAGCTATGAGCCCCTCCTAGCGAGACACAACAAGCCAATTTGTCCTAACTGTAATGTAAATAGTCAGGTGAAATGCAATGTCAGACCGGCGCGGTCGCAGAAAATTAAGACTAAATTCTAAGGTCACTTGTGTCGCAGTGCCTTTTAAATAGTCCACTTTCTGTCATGGCTTTCTGTGCAAATTTAGTGCGGCTGTTTTGCAATCATTTTTTGTAACGAGAGTTTCATTTTAAAATGGATTGCTGCGTTACATACAATTCCCGTCCAAATATGTACTATTTCTGTAATTCTGTTTAGTATATTCCAGCAATAATAGCATAATTTTATGCAGTTTTCCGAGGCTTTCAACTGATTGTCACGCTTTTATAATAAAGTTAAAATTGATTTTATCTAATGTAAATAATGTAAACCTACTTTATCATGGATAAATGCAGATAAAAATATTTAAAACGAAATTGCACTGACAGCCCATTTTATTAGGTGACATGAAGACATGTGGGTTTAAATACATAGCTAGTCGTTCATTCAAAAAAATTGGGGAAGTTAATGTGCAATAACAAGGAAATCCTGCAAGCGGAATCTTATTTCATCCATTTCAGAGAAGGGAAGTAAATGTCAGAGTATTTCATAGTCCTGGATTCCGGATTAAAATGAAACGGACGTTGTACACATTGTTTAAACGAGCAAATATTAAATTTGCAAATTGCTAATCCTGAAATATTATTAACACCAGAATGGCGATAAATAGTTTAGAATATATATGAAGACAAAACATTACCATCATCCACTAAAGTCGGTCCAAAACACCATATGAATTGAATAAGGTAAGAACATGAAGAAAAAAATAAAAAAAGTTCAAAATGCGAATAGCAATGTTGAGGTTAAATTTCCATATGCGCATATTCAAACTAAATAAATGCCGCACTTCAATCTAATATGATAATCTGAATTATATGACCGACAGCACATTTTTTAAAGTCAGAGATGGGTAAAAAGACTGCTAGGTTTCTGTCACCACGTTTTGGCAAATGAAAGTAGTGGATTTGGAGTCACTGAGCCACATAACGTTTTACACATCGGTAAGAGGAATCCTCTAATCTGCAGTAAATGTTCTGCTTGTGAAGTCTGCAATTTGTGCTGGGTATACGAGGCTTTTACAGAATTGCAGAATCCGTAACTATGGCATGTAGCCCTATCGTTGTTTAGAATGATTTGTAAATCAAAATACTACGTTATAATGCATTTTAGAAAGTCTACATTTCCTTTTAAATCATTCACTGCAATCACAATACAAATTTATATGGTCCTATTGAACTTAAGAAGTAAGGAGACTACATAAGCGGATTATTTGAAAGTGAAGTTGTAGAATTCGCTTTACAACAACTGCAGTTGTCTGTTTTGTGGTTCCGCTTAACCTTGAAAATACACCGCCATAATTTAATTTAGTTGGGCTTACATTTCAAATTACTGGTGACGTTGCCTTCCCGGTATGTTTTTCTTTAAGTGTATAGTTAGATGCAGGTCTTTAGTCATATTTTTGTGGGCCCTTTGAGTTTTTGTTTTTAATAAAAGCACATGGTTTAAGATACCCACCTACTACGCTAACTTAACCAATATATTTCCTCTTAAAATGCACTTGGTATTTTTGAATGCTTTACAAAAGCCCAAACGATTGCCGATATAGTAACTAATTTGAGGTCTTTTTCTCTAAAACTTAGTGGTGCAACAAATTGCGTAATAATCTCAGTTATGATATATCCGTATTGAAGCAGCCAAAATTTTTTTTCATTAAATAAATCTTTTTCTGAACTTAATATTTTGCATAAATTTGTACAGTATGAGTTCCACTACATGCCTTTTTTATCGATAATTTGACGTTTGAATTCCAATCCCTACAAGCAAGCTTGGTTTCTTTTTGTTGAATTGTTTCAACCCATTCCAAAAGGCTTTTTCCTGAGGTACAAGACCAAAAATTTAAACGAAACGCTTGGAAGTAGGTGCATGTTGACATAGTTTATGTGATCCGTTTTGATCTCCTATGTTAGTGTAGGATATAGATGTAAGATGCATGTTTAGTTTGCCCATCAAACTGCATGATAATTCTGTTCTGTCTTTTTTAAATATATATTCTCCACGGATTTTGACCTTTTTTACTTAAACTACAAAGCAGACGAATTCTTGTGATTAAAAATGCACTAATGAATGTCCCAATAAGATGTATTATTTGGTCTTGAATAATCGCTGGTATCTTGGATGATTGTTTAAAATCCCTAGCTGCATTGAAGTCCGTTTCACACCAACGTCTGTGAATGAAGCACATTCATACTTTAAAAATGCAATTGGCATGCCTGTTTGGTCTACCGATTCTATTTGGAAGCATAAAATAATTCATAATCTTCCATAAAGTAAATGTGATGTCATTATGTTAAGTTGATGTTAAAAGGAGCTCAGCATGCTTATGTAAATCGCTAAAATTTACTGAGAATTAGGATGGCCAAGGAAGCATTTACAGAGGTTAGCTTTTTGAATGCAAATAGAAAGTGCCACCTTTTAGAATTGGTATTTGCAAGTGTATTCAGACAATGCTTTTAAACCTTTGTGTAGCTACACATATTGAAAGGAAGTTGCTTGTCATTGATGTACCCTAATACTCGTATTCACCTTGGAAGTATAATTTTAAATGAATAAAGTGCCACAAGTATAGAAATGATTGGTAATTGATGTGTTTATTTAGCATTGCCTTGCATACTTGATTTTGGAGTGTCTTTTTAAGTATGCCTTTTCAGAATGGTAGATTGAGCATCATCCTGATTCTGAACTGCGTCTGAACAAATGGCCTCTCAAACCACGCGGTTATTGCTTTTAGATGTCACTGTCAACGACACAGCGCTCCTACCAGAAGGATGTTCAACAACTGTACCGGATGATTGAGGCGTCGACAGACGGTCAAGCTTCGGTAATCGGAGTCACTGAAATGTCAGTGGTGATCTCGCTGCATCCCAAATTTAGTTACAATGCGCACGCTGATTTCACTGCAAAAGTTAGTGCCCGTTTAGCAAGTGTTAGTGAAAGCAAATTTTTAAAGCAATGGCTAATGCAATGGCGTATGATGCTTTGAAAAGGCCAGAGAGCATCGCATCTTATCCTAAGTATGTACTTTGTAAGTGAACTCATTTGCTTTGTCGATAATCAAAACAAAAAGTGCGGTTGAGAGGATGCCATTACAAAAGGGAAATTATTATACAGGAATATAAATGCTGCGCGGCATGGTTGAAGACTTAATGGTACCAGTAAGTTGTCTTTGAAAACGGATTGGTGAAGGACTAGAGCGCCCAAAGTAAATGCACTGACTGCACGCGCCGTTTCTCGTGGTTGTGCGTCAGCACTTAACGGAAATGCATCACAGTGCAACTTGATGCGAGTTATCTAGTGTATTTGCACGGAGTGCCTAAAAATCGACTAGTCTGTGTGTTTGCGTAGGGTATTATTCTAAGGTGTATAAAAAGGCTGCACTCAAAAAGGCAGAAAAGGTAATGGGGTTTACTTTAAATTTCGAAATGATCTGATCGGAGATTAGTGGCGTTTGTAGTTGCCAGTTTAGTGGTCGTTTGTTGGCATTTGTGTCGATGAGTATTGTTAGCAAATGCGTCTTCCGTTGAAAACAATGCATATTCTAGATTCGATGCCCTTTGGCTTACCCGAGAGACACTCCACAGGTGACATTCAACACACCAATCTTCCATCCCAATATCGACAACCCAACGGGCGAAGTTTGTCTAAATCTTCTTAATGAGTGGCGTAGGTGCGTGTCGGCCATACTTTGAGTTAAATTGCAGAACCGTAATTGATTTGTTTCGTGTTTAACATTGTGAAACATATTACATATGACTGTTTTGAATGGATTTAGTGTGTTTTGTGTGAGGTTGTTTTAGTAAGTAATAAGTGTGTCCAATATAGAAATACAATTACTAACAGGCATGTGGTTAGTGTTTGTGTTGGTTGAATTTTTAGCTGTTACAATCTGCTAGATTTGATCAAGGCTCTTCTTTACCTAATCGCCAATCCAAATTTCGATTCGCCAATCAGCCAGTTTGGGTCCCTAAATAACAGGAGCCTGCTGGCGAAGAAGACAATGCGGTTACTGGCTGGTCTGCCTGTGAACGGTGAACGGTTTGCGCCAAACAAGGCGTGGTGCGAATGGGCAGAGGCCAATGGGTGCCTTCCGACTGATGACGAAGAGAATGATGAAGATGATGAGGATGATGCCAGTAGTGAGGAGGAGGACGGTGGGGTGCAGACTACGCTTGCGGCGGCTCTGCAAGATAGGAATGATGTGCGCGACGCTGCTTTCGCATACGGGGTAGGTGACGTGGTTGTTGGTGAAGGCTTAACTAGCATCAAAACATGGAGTCGTTAGGCTGTGTCCACCAGATTCCCTCGACAATGTTAGAGCGTAGTTTTGTGTCTTGATAGGTCGCCACGCAGTTTTTATGCCTCGATATTTGGCCGCA